GTCGCGGTTTAGATAAGTTTTAAAAACTCTGTTATAGACCATCAAATTTCCGACGAAATTCGTACACGATTTTGTTCTTTATGCCTTTGAGAGTGCTAAAAAGATGAAGTCTGGGGGATGGCAGTACAATTCTCAAGACTATCGGATTTATTACTCTGGGACAAACGATGAGTCACATCAAAATGGCGTAGCGGTCATACTAAAGAAATCACTTGCAAAGTCTGTAAGAAAATTTGTCTCATTATCAGACCGAGTAATGCTAATTCAATTAGCTACATTCCCAGTGGATATAAATGTATTACAAGTATACGTACCTACTGCGGACAAAGAAGATGCCGTGATTGAAACATTTTACCAACTTATATCGGAAGCCTTAGCTATGAAAAAAAAACATGAACTTACTCTTATCATGGGGGACTTCAATGCAAAAGTGGGATCAGAAAGTACTCTCAATATTACTGAAAAGTTCGGTCTAGGACAACGCAATGAAAGAGGAGAACGGTTGGTGCAGTTCTGCCAAGAGGAAAAATTTGTAGTTATGAATACATGGTTTTATCTACCGAAACGTAGACTATATACTTGGAAGTCTCCAAGCGATCGAGGAGACAATATTGTAAGAAATCAAATTGATTATATAACAGTCAACAAAGGATTTAAAAACTGCATAAAATCGGTCAAGACTTACCCAGTTGCCGATATTCGGTCAGACCATACTCTACTGTGCTCTACAATCACAGGTAAGCTAAAGAGAGTCTGTAAAAATCAGAAAACCTCCAAAATATCACTAGATGCACTCCAAGACCCATGCACTCTAAATAAGGTTTCTCAAGAAATTAACGACAAGTTCCACGAAATTAGACTAGAAGATACCAACAACATAGATAATTGCTGGGAACAAATGAAAACGACAATAATCACTGCATCTCGTGATTTCTTTGACAAAACTTGTCTACAAATAACACATTGTGGTTTATTGGAAATAACGGTAAAACCATATTTAAGATATTCATCAATGTAGAATCTATTTTTTTATTGCTGCTACTGCCACTTTCAGACATAGATGGTTCTTCACTTCTTTTTAAAAACTTATCCATAATTTATAATTTATCGTAGACGTAAATACGTAAACGGGAATACGTAAGTCGTAAAATATTTACTCATTACTCAACACTGCGTTCGCCACCATAGGCTGTTTGGATTCAAACTGAGGTTTCGTTGCGCGTCGCCGCTTATGTAAAGCCAAAACGAGGCTACGAGAACGTTCCAGAGTGCCATCTAGTAGCGAGCGCTTTCGCGATTATCATGGAAGACTTTTGCGATGTAGACACAAGCCTATATGTCGCGGTATACAATGTGCAGTCGACTTCTTATTATTTATTTTTATTGTAAATGCTATTCTGGCAGAAGTACCTACTACTAATCACTAGTGGGACAGATCGCAATCATTAAAATAATTGTATTAAAATAAAATAATTGTTTTTGATTTAAACTTAAACAGTAAAGTAAAATTAAATTTGAGAAACCATCAGCGAATTGTAAATTAGGAACGCTATGTCTGTCAAATAATATTAAATAAATGAGTGGGGAGAAATTGGGGGTCGCGAACAAATTTTTTAGTAAAAAGGGGTCGCGGTTTAGATAAGTTTTAAAAACTCTGTTATAGACCATCAAATTTCCGACGAAATTCGTACACGATTTTGTTCTTTATGCCTTTGAGAGTGCTAAAAAGATGAAGTCTGGGGGATGGCAGTACAATTCTCAAGACTATCGGATTTATTACTCTGGGACAAACGATGAGTCACATCAAAATGGCGTAGCGGTCATACTAAAGAAATCACTTGCAAAGTCTGTAAGAAAATTTGTCCCATTATCAGACCGAGTAATGCTAATTCAATTAGCTGCATTCCCAGTGGATATAAATGTAATACAAGTATACGTACCTACTGCGGACAAAGAAGATGCCGTGATTGAAACATTTTACCAACTTATATCGGAAGCCTTAGCTATGAAAAAAAAACACGAACTTACTCTTATCATGGGGGACTTCAATGCAAAAGTGGGATCAGAAAGTACTCTCAATATTACTGGAAAGTTCGGTCTAGGACAACGCAATGAAAGAGGAGAACGGTTGGTGCAGTTCTGCCAAGAGGAAAAATTTGTAATTATGAATACATGGTTTTGTCTACCGAAACGTAGACTATATATTTGGAAGTCTCCAAGCGATCCAATCCAAGCTTGGAAGACAATATTGTAAGAAATCAAATTGATTATATAACAGTCAATAAACGATTTAAAAACTGCATAAAATCGGTCAAGACTTACCCAGGTGCCGATATTCGGTCAGACCATACTCTACTGTACTTTACAATCACAGTTAAGCTAAAGAGAGTCTGTAAAAATATCACTAGATGTACTCCAAGACCCATGCACTCTAAATAAGGTTTCTCAAGAAATTAACGACAAGTTCCACGAAATTAAACTAGAAGATACCAACAACATAGATGATTGCTGGGAACAAATGAAAACGACAATAATCACTGCATCTCGAAAAAATATTCTAAGACGACCAACAGTTAAAAATGACTGGATGACACAAGACATCTTAGATCTCATGGACGTTCGGAGGCAGTATAAATTCATAATCAGAGGAAAATACAATGAAATACATAAAGAAATCCAAAAAAGAATTAAAGTAGCAAAAGAACGATGGCTACAAGAATCCTGTTTAGAAATTGAGAAACTGGAGCAACAACACGACAGCTTCCATTTGCATAAAAAAACTAAAAGAATTAACAGGCAAAAAGCAGAACTTATGGGCAAAATATATTACAAGACTCTGGTGGTAGAATTTTAAGTGATATCAAAGAGCGCTATACCGAATGGAAAAATTACATAATAGAATTATTTAACGATGCCCAAAGAATCTACCAAGAAATAACATCTAACCGAGATACAGGCCCACCGATTCTAATCTCAGAAGTTCAGAAGGCTATCGACCAAGCGAAACGAAGGAAGGCTTCTGAACCTGACAAAATACCTGCAGAATTGTAAAACTATTAGATAATGAGAGTGTTGCGATTATCACATCCTTCTTTAATAAGATATACAGCAGCGGCAAATTACCAGACAACTGGTTAGAATCGAAATTTATAACTATTCCCAAGAAAAAAAATGCCAGACAGTGTAGCGACTATCGACTTATCAGTTTAATGAGTCACGCGCTCAAAATTTTTATGAAAATATTGCATTGTTGCATATATAAACTTTGTGAGGGGATAACTGGTGATGAGCAGTTTGGTTTCCAAAACGGTATCGGTACTCGAGAAGCTCTTTTTTACATGCGAATACTCTACAAAAGAGCATTGAGTTTAGGAAAATATTTACGTACGTTTTATAGATTTCGAAAAAGCCTTTGATATAGTACCACATACATTATTATTTCAATGCTTAGACTCAGTTGGTCTGGACACGTATGACATTAGATTGCTCAAAAATCTTTACTACAATCAGACCGCTTGTGTTAAGGTGGACCAAGAGGTTTCAGCTAAAGTTTATATCAAGCGTGGTGTCAGACAGGGATTTGTTATGTCACCGATGATGTTTAATGCCTACACTGAACCAGTTTTTAAAATAGCGGTAAATAATCGCCGCGAAGGTGTTAAGAACGGTGGTGAAATTATTAATAACATCAGATACTCCGATGACACCGCAATAATGGCAGAGAGTCTAGAAGATCTTCAAACCCTGTTGAATGCTGTAAACAACGAATGCACTGAAAAGGGCTTAACAATCAACGCAAAAGAAAACAAAATGGATAAATGGGAAAAATTAATATCAAAGACTCAGTACTAGGATTAGATAACAAAATCCTGGAAAGGGTGCAACACTAGATATCTGGGTAGCTGGATTGACTGCAGGGTTGAAACTGACGAGGAAATTTCGACCAGAATAGAACTCACACGGAAAAACCTTATTAACTGGCCTTCTGTATATTACTACTTCTGTATATTCGCGTTCTGTATATTACTAATTACAGTAATAATTATAAGAAATATCTGAAAATTGTATATAATGATGAAAAAAAAATTTTTTTCGATTTGAGTTTTTTTTTTGTTTTTTGCGTTTTCGAAAACATTTGCCATAGTAATGTATATTTTTTTACACTATCGGAAAGTAGAGATTTCAACAAACAAAAAGCCTACTGACTTTTTTAAAAAAGCTGATATTTTGACGCATTAATTTTCGATTGAGACTTAGGGTGCTTTTTCGGTATTAAATCAATATCAGATAAAAAAGTAAATTTTTCAATCCCAAAAAATTACAGTGTATTTGGTACATAAACTTTGGCAAGTTTTCACCAAATCTCGTAAAAAAAAAATTTTTTGTACAAATATAGATAAAAATAAAAAACCAAAAACAGAGTTTTTTGAATTTTCCATAAAAATTTTGATGTTATGTGAAAAAAGTGTAAATATAAAAGTTGTAGATTTTTTTGTTACCTACAACTTTGCTATTTAACTTTTTTTCATAGCACTTGTAGTTTCGCCGAAAATCGCGATAAACCGATTTTTACCCTTAAAAACTCACCCCCTTCCACTTCCCGACCTCGGATGGAGTGCAATTTATTTTTCTTTCATTTTTGGCATATTCTCTTCCTTTTCCAATAGGTTTCACTTTACTATTTTTTTTTTGGTTTCAAAAATTCCTGGTCTATACCCCACACGGCCTGTGTAAGTTTTTGTAGCACGGTTCCGGAAAGGTTAATTCAAAATTCTGCTGGGAAAAATATTAAGAATGTGGTGTTACCGCTGTAATATGAAAATTTTTCACAATAATTGAAAACTTACTTAAATTGTATAATTTTCAAGTAAACTTTATCTTTCTCTTTATACCTGAAAGTTCTATTTTAGGATTTTGAATTATATACGAATTTTTACGATAAAAATAGCAGTAATTTCACAAGAATCATTACCTAGGCTAATAAAATCAAACATACTTACAAACGGTATAAACATCTCATAATCTCTCAACATTTTTCTAGTCAATAAATCTCGTAAATATAAAACTTTAGGTTTGGGTTCATCGCAAACGAACTTAGAAACCCTCTGTTTATGCTCTGTGAATTCATCCACCAAATTCTGACTTTTACACATTAAAAGAGTCACAAAAACTATAACAATCACTCTAAAGTCCAACATTTTCCTTTTTTTATCATTCGACACATTCGAGGCTACTATTTGTGTGTTAAAAACAGTTTCGGCCCGTTTTTCGAAGTATTATTCTGTTTTAAATCACACACTTTTGGATGATGTGTTGTAGCATCGCGTGTAGTTAAATTTAAATGGGAAGATAATATAAACAGAGTTACATGTTATAAACGATAATGCTATCAATCTACTCAGTTGCTAGCAAAACGGGAGGAGTCGATATTTTGACAGATACCGGCACAGGCTACGAGTGTCGATATGTTTATACCGGCTGGATAAATGGAATATATAGAGTATTTTTTTTACTAAAGCCGATTCGCGTCATCGATTAGCTACTCAATGTCATGTAGTAACTCTCTTTGATATAGTTATCTAACCACTTCTTTTGATAAATTTTGTGATGACAATATGTAATAAACAAAATGTGCAAAAGATCAAACGTCATTTTTTACTTATATCGATACCGTGTGGTCCAATAATAATATATTATTATTATAAATTATTATAACTAACTAAATGAATATACAAAAACATAGGTAATAGCAAGTGTTTAGTACAAATTAAATGCTCAACTATGGAACAAATGGTCATCCAGTTTATTTTTGAAAATATTGACAGATGGAGCATATATGACCTCAGCCGGAAGGCTATTCCATATCGAGAACACTCGATTACAGTGAAAAAATTGTCTAGTTATTGTTAAAAAAGTTTCCTTTTTAAACTTAAGTTTGTGGCCACGAAGACGATTGTCATTGTCTAGTATAAACATATCCCCCACATTTCCAAAGTTGTATTTTACTATCCGAAACGTAATAATTAAATCGCCTCAAAGTGAACGTTGTTCAAATGTAGTGAGATTGGCTATATTCAGTCTTTCTGTATACGTGGGTCTGGAGCGACCAAAAGACATCCTAGTGCACTGCCGCTGTACGTTTTCGAGAATATTACGATCGCGCACTAATACCGGACACCAAACAGTTCCACAATATTCTAGAACTGGACGAATGAACAGTTTATACAGATGAACTGAGCTCATAAATGACACTTTCGCAAACTGTTAGTTTTTTTTAGAAATATGCAAAATATGTTCAGACCAACTTAGATTGTTATTAATTATAACACCTAGATCATTATGTGATTTCACTGTTTTTAACACGCGCCCATTAATAGAGTAAGGAAGACACGGATTATTTTTACCCATGTGAAGAACTACACATTTTTGAACATAGGGGCAGCATCCAAGTAGAGCACCATTCCGATATGCAATCAAGGTCATCTTGTGGTAACTGGAAATTTACAGAGGGATCGGAAAATTGTTTCATGTCATCTGCATAGAAAGCTTTGTTACATTTAATGTGAAATTGTAGATCACTTAAGTATGCTATGAATAAAAGTGGGCCAAAAACTGATCCTTGCGGTACAACCGTTCTCTCAACTGAGAAAGAGTCCTCAACTCTAACACAAAACTTTCTATCTTTCTATCGGTCCATTTCAGTAATTGTCCACGGATACCAAGGTATTAAAATTTATGTAATAGTCTTCGTTTTGGAATTCGATCAAAAGCTTTAGCAAAATCGAGGTAAATAATGTCTACCGGGGCTTTTCTGTCTAATGCTCTTGACCATTCATTGACACACCAGAGAATGTTTGTCATTGTGTAACGTCCTTTGACAAAACCATGCTGCAGGTCTGGTATAACCAGTTCATTTTGCAGAAAATCAGAAATTGTCTCGGCAATAATAGATTCCATTATCTTAGATATTATAGGTGTTAAGCTGATAGGATGATAGTTATTAAGATCCAATTTGTTCCCTTTCTTAAAAATCGGTGTTACAGATGCGGTTTTCCATATAGGAGGCAAAATATAAGTAGTGAATGATAAGGACATTATCATATATAGTGGGTAAGCTGAAGCATCAGAACCTTTTTTTTTTTAAATAAAGGTATTAAGTCGAGACCAGGAGACGAATTATTTTTTATGCTTTGAAGATGATGTTTAACTTTTTCAGGATTAATGATTATATTTTCAAGAGAAGAAGAAACTCGTGACGAAGTAATATTAGGCAACTAATGATTAGTGGGTTCGACAGAGAAAACCTTAGAGAAAGTACTGGCGAAGACTCGGCATTCTCATAGTTATTTTGGGATATATCCCCTACGTACGTCTATATTTGTTCCACAAGTTTCTTTTATACTTGATCAGATATATTAATTCCCCATTCATCCAAGGTTTTATGTTATTTTTGTATATGGTTTTTTTGAATTTATTTTGAGTTTTGCAGAAATTAACAACGTGTAAGAACTTATCCCAGAATACAACTGGATTCCGTATGTCGCCGAAAACATCATTTCAGTTGGCGAGTTGGCATAGCCAACCTTAACCTTTTCGTTCTTTACCGAAATACTTTAAATTTATACCCCGACTGCAGATAGACGATGAAGTCGAGAGGTTGTATGATCAGATCCAAGACATCTTATAGAAACTTAATAAACATGAAATTTTATATGTTATAAGCGACTTCAATTCAAAAATTGGGGAAGGTCGACGAGGTCAGACTGTAGGTCCTTATGGTCTAGTACATCCTAACGAGCGAGGACAAAGATTGTATAAATTTTGTAAAAAAAATCATGTGATCATTGCACACACCACCTGGTATAAATTAGCCAAGCGATGACTATACACTTGGAAAGACCCATTTGATGATGGCAATAACCCTAAGTCTTTAATATATCAAATAGACGATTTAATTGTAAATGAGCGTTTCCGAAATGTCCAAAAAGTCACTACATTTCCTGGGTCAAATATTGTATCTGATCACCAAACACTTTTAGCACGACCCTCCCAACGAAAACTGTCGTAACTCATTTTTTTTCAATTTTGAGTTATTACCATAATCAGATTTTATAATACCGAAATTTATTCCAGAGAATACTATAATAACTAAAATCATAATATAGACAACACAATATACGTTAATGTAAATGTAGTATCTCAATGCTCTCTGTACTTTACCGCGAAGAAAGTAGTATTATGGAGTTACTACAGTGTTCGCTGTAAATTTGTGAGAAGGGACCGAGATACGGCTATACGTTTAAAGCGAATAAAATTATAGGTTATGTTAAATGTCGTTCACAATTAGGTGAAGAGCTAAAGAGAATCTTGTTTAATGTTATAATAATTTATAATAATGTCGCAGAGAACTAAACGAATTTTGGGATTACTTGTTAATAATAATACACAAATAGCACCAGGTAAGTTGCTGTCATTTTATTTATCTATTTATCTATTTAAAATCTGAATGTTGTACATAGCATGGACAGTAAAAAAGTTAATTTCAAAGGAACAATCTAGGTATTTAATAATTTAAACGTTTCTTTTTTTTTTCATTTAAATTTTTTTATTTTTTTTTTGTTTTAGACAACGAAAATGAAAGTAACGACGAAAATCATACCGTTGGCATTGATACCAATATATTTCCTTCTGATTATTCCGATAATGATCCGAAATATGTTTCCTCTGAATCAAGGAACAATCTAGGTATTTAATCATTTAAATCTTTCTTTTATTTTTAATTTAAATTTCTTTATTTTTTTTTGTTTTAGACAACGAAAATGAAAGTAACGACAACAATAATACCGTTAACATTAATACCAACATATTTCCTGCTAATTATTCCGATGATGATCCAAACTACGTTCCCTCAGAATCAGAAGCCGAAAACGAAAATTTGAATCTATCTGATAACAAGAGAAGTAATGTGTCATTAGACAGACCATCATCAAAAAGAAAGCGAAAAGTATCAGAAAAGGTTAAGATAGGAAGAAATCGAGTTAGAAATGAGAACAAATGGATTGACAAAAAAGTCAAAAGAGAATTTAATAGCGGTCTGGAACATAAGAACCGCAAGGATAAGTTTATACCTGCAAAGAAGATGAAGGTTCCTTGTAAGGATATTTGCAGATATAAATGTAATAGCATATTAAATTTTGAAACAAGACAAGTAATTTTTGACGAATTTTGGAAACTTGGAGATCATACCAGGCAGTGGGATTTTCTTGCAAGGTGCGTGACACAACAAGGTAAAACGCAAATCACTGTAAACAATTCTAGGAGAAACTTTTCGCGCAAATATAAATTTAATATTGGTAATACCGAGAAACAAATTTGCAAGACAATGTTCTTAAATACACTTGCGATTTCTGAAACTTTTGTTAGCACTGCATTGAAAAAAATTAGTGAAGCTGGTACCATAGAAGCAGATAAGAGAGGAAAACATAATACTAGACCGCACAAGATCCCGGATAGTGTAAAAGATAACATTGTAGAACACATAAAATTATTTCCACTTGTACCTTCTCATTATACAAGGAAAAACTCAAAACGCATGTACTTAGAAGAGGGCTTAAACATATCTGTAATGCACCGAATGTACGTGGAATATGCCAAACTCAAAAAATGGGGTGTCGTCGCTACAGTTAGACAATACAGGGATACTTTAAACTCACAATTCAACATTGCATTTTTCAAGCCTAAGAAAGATCAGTGTTCAGTATGCAGTGCGTATAACAATACAGATACAGAGAAAAGAACTCAATCAATGGAAGAAAATTACAATAGCCATGTTTTAAACAAAGAATCTGTTAGAAATCTGAAAGATGCTAATAAGGAATTGTCCAAAAGTGATAAATCGTTTTTAACAATATGCTTCGATTTGCAGAAAGTATTAGTAACACCCAAGTCAGAGGTAAGTAACTTTTATTATAAGAGTAAGCTTGCAACTTATAATTTTACTATTTACGACTTGGGCAATAATCAAGGATATTGCTACGTATGGCATGAACAAATATCAAAAAGGGGGCCGAATGAAATTGCAAGCTGTTTATGGCATTTTTTAAAAGGTGCAAAACGAGATGGCATTCGAAAAGTCGTGTTATACTCCGACAATTGCGGAGGGCAAAACCGCAATCGTTTTATTTTTTCGATGTTTGCTCATGCATCGGTGACTTTGGATCTGGAAATAACACACCGTTTTCTTGAGATTGGTCATACCCAGAACGAAAATGACAGCATGCACGCTGTTATAGAAGTTGCAAAGAAACGACATTCGAATATTTATACTCCTGACCAG